ATCTTCCTTAAATTGCATGGCCAGCATTGTTGCTCTGAACAACCCCCGAGGCTCAGTTTGATTTCAGCAGATTAATTTAGCTTCTTCTCTTATGCAACACCATCTCAGCTTTCAAGCAATCTGACTAATCTCAAGGTCACCTTTGGCACCTTGCATGGGTGGGTAGCTACTGAACTGCACTCCCTTGACAGCAGCCAAGAGAAAAGAAACAACGTTGTACCTGAAGAGATTCTTAGACATCAAAATAAGTTCTGATGGCAGTGAAACTGTTTGGCATTGAGAGAAAGGAAATAACACTGATAGATGTCAGCTTTGATACAGCCTTTATTACAGCATGCAAGGTTGAAAGAGACCAAAGAAATGAGTGAGAGCTTGCAAAATCGATTAATGTAAGATAAAACAATTCAACTCAGGTGATGTTTCACCAGAATACCATGACCTTGTGAAGGTTTACAATCAGGAAACATGAGGACAGTTGAACTGATTGTTGTTTGAGCAGGAATATTTTTCAAAGCCACCCATGAAATATTTAAATCGGGGTGTTTTTCCACTGAAAATGTGAAATGAGATTGGGTTGGGAATCTTTTGGCTCCTCACGATTCAATTTGATTATGAATCAGAGGGCCGCGATGATAAAACGATTGTCCATGCATCTCACTGCCATTACAATGACACTTTAATAACTCTTTCCTGAGCAAAGAATTTTTCAAACCCAAGAGAAACAGAACACACTGCTCTAAAACTCCAGTATAAAACAGTTTTCATTTAAACAAGAATATGGGAACTAAAAGAACAAAGGGGTCAAAATGGTGACATGAGTCTGTGGCAATAGATGTACCAGTAAATGTGTGACATGTTGGAGCCATATGACCTGCTTTCTTTAGCTTACAAGACTTTCGTTTTGTCCTGCTGCAGTGTGAAAATGTCTGTATTAGTACGTATATCTTTGTCATAGTGTGATCCTTTTCTTTTGTGGCTCCAAAGGGCGCAACACAAAGTAATCTCTCACTAAGCTGTGACAGACTCGAGAGTTGGAGACTCAAAATTGCGAGAAAATAGGACAATTTTCAGTTGCGGTCTCACTGAATTTTGAGCAAGCTGTTGTATTTTGTACCACAGTTTAAAAATACAAATACAAGCCTTTTGTGTTCATGGTTTGAAAAACTGTGTACTAAGAATGTACAGTAGTCCCTCGATACTTCAGAGTTTGACTTTCGCGGACTCACTGTTTCACGGGTTTTCAACGTAAGATTGTACTTGTATCAAATTGATTGTACTCTCTGCTCGGATTCCCAGGGAGTTAACTTTAATATTACTCATGCGATTGGGACGATACGGGATAAAAAGTTAACGGGAGCGGAAGGGAGCGGGAACCAACCAATAGGACAAAAACAAAACAAACAAACACACACACAAAATACAGGCGCCACCATTTTGTAGTTTTCGTTCAATAAGCACAGTAATGCAAGTCAAAAGAACTACATGGCCCAGAAGCCAATAGTGCTACTAGCCGCTTCTTCCTGCCAAAATTCAAAAAACAGCAATAGAGGTGGCAAACACTAGCGGAGAAACTGATGTGGTAAAAATACATTTGCAACGTAACGTCAGAAGTAACGATCTATCTATTAAGCTCACAGAACTGGCAGGTAAATCGCAAATAATCCCGAAGCTGAACTTATCCTTCAAGTTGTAGTAGTAGCTCAATGGTGAGTTGTCCACCACTTATTGCGGGGGATCTGTACCCTGAAGCCCCGCGATAAGTAAAAGACTGTGAAGTAGGGATAGAAGTACAAGTAGTGAGTAGTAGTTCACTTTAGTATATATATATATATATATAAAGTATTTCCAAACACTGGCTTTCAATACAAATGTTGTTGTCTCTGTTGTGTGCATGTCACAAAAGGTTCATGCACCTTAGAGTTTCGTCATTTGCAGGACAGTATTAATATTAAATACTATTCTAATTTTGACCAGTGCAAACTTATAAAGAATCATTCAAGTCTACATCGCAATGCATCAAAAACAAAAAAATAATTTGCACCCCTTGATGAGATACAGTTGTGCTCTTTTCAATTTAGAAGAAGTGAAGGATAGTTTGAACAAACAAGTGTTTCAGCTCAGGAATGAGATCATGATAGAAGAATGTTTATTTCTCAACAGAAAGATGTTATCAAACTTAAAAGAATAGAAGCCACTTTTTTTCCTTCATTTATTGCTGGGATGGGTTAGACCTCAGCAATAATGAAACTTAAATTCCCGTGATTCAGATAAGCCTTATCTTCTTTTTATAATTTAAAGACCCACATCTTATTTTGGACATATCTCCAGTTGGCATTTTGAAAAGAAAACTCAAACCTGTTTCCACACAAGGGTCTGTTTATGTCTCATGTAGTGCACTAAAAAAAGATTTGACCTGATTTATCTCTTCCAGCAGAATAACTGAAATGGTTGTTTTTGGGTCTAAACACTCTCTCAAGTTTAAAAGTGTGTAAAGAAAAACTGATAGAGCTCTAATCCAGTATGGTATTCTCATAAAAACTCCCTTTGGTGCCAGAAACTGTTTGCGAAAAACACATTGACCTGCCCTGCCTGAGCAAAATATGTGGAGTGCCTTTTTAACACAAAACCTTTAAAACTTATTATATCACGTACTCACCAACACATAACTTGTTTCATCTTATTTTTATTGTATTGAACATTTTTGTCCAAAGCCAAATCATGGTTACTCAAACAAGAGTTTCTGCACAGAGCCCATTCACAGCTACATGCTCCATTTGTTTTTATGACAAAAACAAAAAAAGAAAACAAAAACTGAATAAATCTATAATTCTACAGGACAACTTATTTAATAAAAGCCAACAACAGGTGAAATTTAACTCAGTTTATCGCACCATTCTATTCAGACTATGGTGTAAGCATCATTAAGAATCATAAAGACCTGTTCTGTTAGAAAATACCAGGTTGCAAAACCAGACTGAAGTGTCCGCCCATATTTCAGAGGATAAGTGTTCGCTGAATGGCAGCCAACTTCTGAGACAGTCATGGCCCTTTGAGATATACAAGTGACGAGTAGAGACGGTCTATAGGAGAAAGATGATAACCAAATGATCCTTTGACTGACTGAGACCCAAGAATTTTCAGTTTGGAGCAGTGCTCAGTTTGAACCGGATCCTGCTGGAACAGGTTCCGGGAACTCTCTTATTTTGACAGGGTGCATTCCGGTAACTGTTTGCTTGGATCTCTCAGGCTTACTAATAATAAAGTTGTGAACAAATACGACTGCCTTGAACAAATAAAACTTATATTGGAGTTATAAACTGAAAATAATTACATAAACACTCATTTTAAACACAACAGCCACTTACGCGCATGAGTTGCCCCTTCAAGTAGCATTCCCGCGTCTACCCTTAAAAAAATCTCTGCCCCTAAAAGAGTGGAGGGGGTGAGTGCCAAATGGGCTAACCAGGCATACATGGGCAGGAGCCCACAGGCAGCCATGACAGATGGAGGAGTTGGGCTCAGAACCGTCAAGTAAGGTGGAGGGGGGGTAGGATGCTTGACAGAAGCAGAGTGTTTACAAATTTAGGTAAATGTAGATGTTTCACAACCCATTAAAATACACCACAATGCAGGAAATCACATCTACTTTATTAAAATGTTATGGAGGAGGTCCCCCAGACACCACTCCCACCCACTATTTGCGTATTCCGGCATCGGCCGATTTACAAATTAAGCCCAGGCTTGGAGCCACCAATGTAGTGAATAATGTAGAAAAAGTGGAAAACCAGTGTAGAAACAATAATTTTGAGACTACTTGATTTGTTTACTAGCAATTTGTATTAAGTGCAAATACAAATGTGAACTAAAAATAATTATGACTCTTTCTTTATTAAACACCCATATGTGAGTTAGAGATAAATGCATGTCACGTAAAGCTGTTTCAAAAGTTGGATCCAAGAAGTGACACATTCCAAAGGTCTGATTCTCTTGGAGGATGGCAGACATGTCTTTAGCTGACATCATCCCTGTTTTTGTCTGTCCTCTTGGAAGGACCAACACACCACTCTTGTTCTTCGACAAGAACAATGTGCCGGGCAGCACCATGAGGCCAGTGAACCCCAGATAGTTGCACTTTAGCACTGGATACCAAGCAGCCCATCTTGAGATAGCATGCTTCTCACTGTCAACCACACTTCAAGAAATGAGGTTAAATGGCACTATCACACAACATGGGAGTCTCTTCTATTTTTATTAAACGTGCTGACAGATTCTATTCTGTAGCGAGAGAGAGCGAGGCAGTGCCATTCTTGGAAAGACATAAATAAGTACTGAGGCAACGTTAAGGATTTCTTTTCATCTTTTTTTGGCAAAGTTATACGTTATTTTGGAAAATGTTCACAAGGCATCATGATGTATTTTACAAATTTATCGCAATCTAAACTCTACAACATACTTTAGATGGTTACGTTTGGTGAAAAACTGAAAGCTGCCGTTAATAATTGAGACAGACCTGTTTGCCTTTAATTTCATTGACGTAATGACCCTTAAAACAGCACTTGTTAGAACAGATTTTAAAGATTTAGAAATACCTCCCTCAGGGCTGTTTCTTTGAAACAAACAACCATGGTGACCAAGCAGTCAAACTTATCTCCCACCATCTTTTTCCACTAAGCCATTTTGCTCATGTGAAAAAACCTGTGTGATTCAACGTAACATCACCTTTAATCATTCACACTAAAAAAAAAAGAAACACATCAGATCAGATGTTGAACAGTTTCCAGAGGTAAAGAGAGTTCACAGCTTTTGTGAAGTTATACTCAGGTACAGAGGGTGTTGTAAAGTCCCACTGGGGCTGGAATAAGCTGTTTTTGAAATGTAAAATTTTTGCTTAGTTAAAGATATGCCAAGATTAAAGAAAACCACATCAAAAAACCAACAACACAATAGTGGGACACGATTAATTGTCAATATTTCCCTGAAGGAACTTGAATAAGACTCACCTAGCAGCTGGACTCCTCTGGTAAGGCCGTAGACGTCTATAAGAGCCCAGAGAGGTTCGGCAACACGTACGCCGCTGAAGAAGAGCATGGGGCGGGAGTTGTTGATTCGGTAAAACACTCTGCCCTTCTTATCCACCCAAAAAGAGATGACGTTGCCTTCACTGGAAAGTTCCTCTGGAAGGGCTTTTGCCCAGAAGCCACTCTGGCAGACCAGGTCGGGGCAGGCATACTTGGGCAATGTGTCTGGATTGATCCTAGATGGGTCTTTAATTGTGAAACCAAGGCGTAGTGCGCCGCTCCAGCAGCACTGCTTCTTAGTTATCTGAAGAGCACATGCTTTGAATTAATACACTCAGATCAAAATGAAACCTTAACCTTTGTGCCTTGAACAAAACCTAAGCCTAATATCTACTACCACACCACATTTTAACTTAATAGCTGCCAAATATACTGAGATATAGCAGTTTTTGTGTTTGTGAAGGTCAGTTACCTGTGACAGTCATCTTGAATTGAACTGACTCAAACGATTAATCAGTTTTAGGTGTCTATCTAATAATTACTTTGTAGTTTCATTTGCTTTAGTTATACTTAACGCCACAACGACAAGCTAATTTTTATAGGGGCGGCTGTGGCTGAGTGGTTACAGCAGTTGTCCTCCAATGCAAGAGTTGGGGGTTTGATTCTACCAGGAGTCACATGCCGAAGTGTCCCTGGGCAAGACACTGAACCCCTTCATTGCCTCTGATGTGTGTCCCATGAATGTAATAAAGCACTGATTAGTCTCTTTAGAATGATTTGTTCAATTAGCTTTGTAGAGATCTAGTAGAGTGCTGTATGAATGGGTAAATGATGGCACAGATTGTAGTGTAAAGTACTTTGAGTATCTTGCTAAGATAGAAAGGCACTATATAAGTACAGTCTATTTACCATTTAAATTAATCTTTGTTTTTCCTAGATGGATCTGTATACTGTGCACAATTTTTTGAGCTCACGGTGTACATATTTCTTATCTGTGGGGAAAGTTTTATGACCTACTTTTGATATCAATCAAACCTTTGTGTGAAACCAAAGTGAATACAACTGAATTTTAAAACTGCACTAAAAATACACACTTGTCAGACTATATTAAAAGTAAGCATAAGCAAAAACTAACTAATGGCATTGGTAGTCAGTTCGAATTTTGATGGAGTCATATTTTGGGATTAGTGAAGCTTGTTCGTATTAATCATGGACACAGAGATTTAAAGATTATCTTATCAATAAATGAGGTAAAAATAGTTATAAAATTATTTCCATGTTGTTAATTCAAAACAACCTGGAAGTACACAAAGCTGGGTTTTCTTAGCCACACTACAATCAATTCTTTGACCTAACTAAATAGCCTGCGTACATAAACTTAGCCTAGTGTGTGCAAAAGCATGTCAAAAAACTGCTCTAAGATGATCTGAAGTTTGAGAGGCAAGTTCAAAGTATGCAACAACTCTGCACGACCCTTCAGCCACACATAAAGGAGCTTGTAATTTACAGTGCATAATAGTGACTCGTGCATCAGTGCACCAGTGGCAAAGGACACTGTGTGCACATCTTGTGCTCATTAGGAGCTTCGACAGGAGTATTCATCATGCTGAAAATTGGAAGGACTTGGTATAATAGACAACATAATCTAAGTTTTGAAGGAATACAAATTATTTTTTACCACGGCATATGTATAACTTGGCCAAAATGTGTTCATGCAACCTGTTAGCAGAAGTAACATGAAATCCAGTTTTCATCAGGTTTTAGATTTAAAAAATGGTGTCATGAAGTATGAAGAGCATTAAAAATAATATTAATTTGTAACATTAAAAGTTGCCAAGTAAGTGGGCTGTAAGTCCTCCCTAATGCCAATGTCAACAAAGAGACTTGAACCAAAAGAAAGATTAATATTCCTACCCTGAGTGCCAAGCCACAAGCTGGGTTTAAAACATCAAATCCATTTCAAACTCACTAAATCCAGCTACCCTGGTATGTTCATCACCTGCAAACAATTTTTGTCTTATTTTGATCCTCTATTGACTTGGTATTTACAGTGCTAGGCAATGTACTCCTCATATGGCAGTGTTTGCTATGCTCTCTCACTTTTGAGACATAGATGGTCTGATAGGTGAAGTGGAAACTTGTTCTAAGCTGCCGTTGCCTTGGCCCACACAAGAGCAGAGCGAGAGAGAGAGAAAAGAAGAAAAATCAAAGGATGAGGGCAAAGACTGAAGGTGGAGAAAAGAAATCAGGAAAAGGAAAAATAAAAACCATGCTAAAGGAATGAATGGGAGGCGCAGCATCACACTCCAAGTTTGTGTCATCCTATTTGACTGTATAAAGTAATCTACAAAAGTACATTTGGCACTGAACTTGAGTATCCTGTAATTAGTTCAGACGTAAAGGTGTAAATCTGAGACAAAATGGACTCTCAGGTAAATAAATGCTGTTTACTTTTAGTCGAACTTGCTCGTAAATAGCGATCGGCCTGTTGCTGAAGGTGATGGCATTGCAGAAGCTGGCCTGTCTTTTGACGGCTCTCTGGGCCAGGTCCATGATGATCTGGGAACCCTTGGTGCTGGGGTGGAAGAGCAGAGGGAAGGAGGACAGATTCCCGCATGGCTGGACGGGCAGGCAGCGTTTGGACTTGTGGTGGCATCGATGGGATGTTGAAGGAAACGGTCCGTTCAGAGAATCTACATAAAAAATAAACAAATCAATAAATAAAATAAATGATCAAGTGGTGTGGCACAATCTTTATGTATAATTTTGAAAGACTGGATTGGGGAGTCCATACTGCAGAGAACCTCTCTATAATAAAAACTGACAGTTTGAGGTTGTGACCCACATGTCTCATCATTTTCTCTCAGATGTGTTTCATGCTTCTGAAACACCCAGTTAGGTCAAATAAAGTCATTAAAAATAAGTAACTGCTTGTGCTTCGTTAGTTTGTAGTTCATCAGAGAAGCAAGCCAAACTTCTTGCATGTGAAGCGTGTGCAAGGTGACTTACACGCTAAAAGCTCTCAGATTAAAAAAACACAATCTAAATTGCTCCCCTAATTACAGAAACAAGGGAACAACACAGCTGTGAGACGTTTACACAGCAACTTTTCTGCAATTTTCGTTAACGCTGGTCATTTCTTCCATTTCTATGCAAATTTTTTTTTTTTTTGTGCGTTTTGAGTTTAGACATTTTACAACAGAAAGTAAAATGCTGCAATGGTAACAGAGAGGAGGACAAAGAACACAAAAAAGTTACCAACTTCACAATTAATCCAGCAGGAAATGATTTTACTTTAAGGATTATCAGCTGCCTGATGCATAAAGGGCTTGAATGCATATCACCCATCTGACAAAGTTTTAAACTAAATTATTCTTATATTTAGAAATGACAGCATTGAAACCTTGAAAACAATACGTGCACAAGCAGCACATTCACAACCAGTTCGCTGGTGATAAGATGGCTACGGCTGCCTCAGAGGAGTTGACAGGGGAGAGGGTGGACTCCAGAAACCATCTCATCACCAGCAATCTGGTTGTGAGTGTGCTGCTTGTGGGACTGAGTTTGTTGTGGCTCCTCAGACGGATGAAGTCCTTTGGATGAAGGACAAAACGTCTCAACAAAAAAAGAAACCGTCCCGATGACCTGACTGAACTTTGCTGTATTTTTTACCTGGATTATTGAACATGACCTTTGATATAGTTGTTAAGATCTGTTATTTTTTTCTTTCACAGAAAACATATCAAAGTCAAAAGTCAAAGTTTCTTTCTTTGTCATTCACACCACATGTGGTACATGTGGTTGGACCAAATTGTGTACACGGGGTAGTTGCATCCAACAAAAGTATAAATTGTAAAGAAAAACAGTAATAAGATCTAAGATATGAACTAAGAAATACGCTAAAGCACTACTAGTACCAAAACATTACGCTGAACAACAGCAGCACACATTAGTCACAAATAAGATAAAAACTATAATCAGAATGAAAGAAGTGAAAATAAACCAATGTTGCTGCTTTTTTGTGATTTCTTCATCAGAGGAAGCGGCACTGAATGCAACTGGTACACAGTGAGTCACTGCGTTCCATTTTTGTCATTTTTTCCTTTGAGAAAATATGAATCAATGTTCCAGCTCAAGTAATTTCACAACAGAACCAAGCATCCATATTTTACAGTAACCAAAGAGATAAAGGATTTGTTCAAAAGGCACCATATGGCTGATTTCACACAGACTGTCTTTTATTTGGATCAACTCTCTACCTTCCAGTTCCACACCCTTCTTAAAAATCGCAACACCAAGGTCACGGAGGTTTAACGGAGGAGGCGTTTTCTCACAAACTTTGGGCTCTCATTATCTGTAAGGCAGACATATTTACAATTTGACTGATAAACACCATATTTTAAAACGTTTGCTGCCCGCAATCAGCTCCGTGTTTCTTTTGCTTTCAGATAATGAAAAATCCAGTCCCTCTGCCAGGTTTGGAAATGAGTAATTTAAGCCTAATTAACACTTCTCCAATCCTCGGGAACAGATTGTATTTTCACACCTAAACTTGAGAGGCTGCGAAGGAGCCGCTTGTGTTTGTCAGAGAAATATAGCTATTCTTGCTTTCCCATGGTGGAGGGAAGCAAATTAATGTCAGAATTTGATGCGTGAGGCCAAGTTTGTGAAGGCATTGATGGACATAGATAACATTTGAGGGCACGTCTATGTAAAAACAAGAATAAACTAGGAAAGCCCCAAACTGGGAATCTTTGCCACACATTTATTTTTTTGCAACGTCTTTCCCTTCAAATCACAATGAGAGACGCTTTGCCAAATTTCTGGGTTCAGAACAGTCTATTTGTTAAGCTCCTTGCATGCTCATGTCATTGCAGAACAATGCTGACTTATGTTCTGTGCACAACAGTGGTCTTAAATGAAGTCATAACAAATCCTAAGCCATAATGCGTCCATGATGTCATTTCAGACATGATGTTTTCAGGAGTAGCACAATGGAAGTGCCGTGTACTCCTACAGTAACAAGGCCTGAGAAAGGAAAGAGTATTTCCTTTGAGAGTTGAAGACAGAGACGCTGCCTCCAGTCCCCTGAAGGCAGCGTTGACTGTCTCATGCTTTACCAGATAACTCTTCTTATTTTATAATCGTACTGTTTTGGTTTCTGCTACTGTGAATTTGAATTTCTTCAGCATTCCTTCAGGGAAATCTATACACATTTTATTTATTGTAAATGACATCTTGTTAGGCCCAAAGTTGCTGGTGATAAAGGAGCTCTTGGGTGTTTAAAAATCATGTAACCTGCAAACATTGGGGTATACAAAGCCTTGACAGGATAAAAGAGAGGTCAGATGAGTCACTTAAAGAAGGACAATGTTAGTTAAAGCTTCACCCACCTCACTGTCTTTAATGTCATCAGTCGGGGAGGACAGCGCAGAGGCAGCTTGCAGCACTGGTTTGTGTCACCTAACCTCTTACACATTTTATTTCAAGGCATGGTCTCTTTCAAGATGCCTCAACAGAGGCCCAGACGTTAGTGTGACGTTAGTATCAATACTCACAAGACGATGAAATAAAAAATAAAAAAAGAAAGAAAGAAAGCCAGAAGGCATGTTTATTCTTTAGCTTTTGCAAATACGTCAAAGTTTGTGTGTTTTACCAAAAGGAAGGAATTGTGAGCAGGATCTGTTAACTGTTATATGGAGGCAAATGAGTTACATCACATTCTGCTGGAGGTACAATTCTAAAACAATATCTTCTTACATACAGACGTTTATTTTTTATTTAATTTCAAAAGCAAGATTTGTGTCTGAAAACTAAAGTTCCTGCATTTATACCTTGAGGCGTAAGAGGTCTGATGGACTAAACTCTGCTCAGGCTGTACAGTGTGAAGGGCAGCTTGCATCTCCTCTCAGCAAGAGAAGACTTGTTGCAAATCTCAGATAAGTTCTTCCTGAGTGGAGATTGTTGACCCTGTTTCCTCTATTGATCCTAAAACGTGTGTGCTATAAGTGAATTGGTGATTCTGAATTGAAGGTATGAGAAAGCTCTTTCTTTCTCCCAAATAGATATATTTTTGTAATACAATGTATGGAATCTGGGAATTTTCAACCAGTTTGACACGACTGTCCACAAGGAAGAGGGCCGGCAATGGAGGAGGGGGCGTACCAAAGAGACCATCTTATCACAAGCAGAACTGGTTTGTTCCACTGTTGGAGGAAGAATCAGTTTTGTTGTGTGTTTCCTTGACTGATGAAGCCTTCCGGACCGAAGGCGAAACATTTCCGCACAAAAAAAGAAACTGTCCAGATGACCTGACTGAAAAATGTTGGATTGTATACCTGGATAATTGAACATGGACTTTGTTGTTAATGTATGGAATCATTTCAATTGTCGCAGCTGTTGCAGTTTTCCCCCTATCACATATACAAAAAATAATAAAATCCCAGTTTTAAGGCACATTAGTGCTGTACAACTGGAGCAATAAAGTATGTTTTTTAATGGTTCCAGTGCCCATAGATTCCCATATGTGTGTTGGAATTGCACTTTTTGAAAAGTATAAGAAAGTAAAAAACCAATGTTTCACTTGAAATAATTTAAAGACATAATTACTACTGGACTTGTCTTCCTGGGGTTATGATAGGGCTAGAAAAAAAGACTTTGAGTCATTTAGTTTTAACTTAATAAAAAGTTATCTATGTTCAGTTTAATGGCAGAGGACTACATTTTCTAACTCCTGTTGGATGGGTTTGGCCAACAGCCAAAGGCGAGGTGTACAAAATTCATCTACTCATCCATTATCTTTACCCGCTTCTTCCTTTCTGAGTTGCGCGGGTCACTGGTGCCCATCAGTAAGTGTGCGAGAGGCGGGGGACACCCTGGACAGGTCGCAACTCTTTGAAATGTCAAATTAAAAGTCCACAGTTCAGAGATATTCATCAAACTACAAAACAAACTTCACGTGACTGAAGTGAAGCCCAAAATGTTCTGCAGTTCTAACATCTCAAATCATTTGATTTGATTAACCTACTAGTTTGGTTTAAATAGCTTTCAACTGTATATCTGATGGGTTTTCATTTCTAATAATATTAATAAACATATCCAATATTTTAACCTCGGATGAAACAAGAAACAGAAACTAAAGCAATGCTTTAAAGATAAAGGGTTTTAAGCTCAATCATCCTGGTAGATAACAACAAAAAAGTTAAATCGTGTCCTCGGGACCAGTTTCTTTAAGGGAGAAACGTCTCCCATCCAGAGGACTTCTTCAGTCTACGGCCTGCCAACCAGATCTGCCCCATAGATGTTCTGTCAAATAATTATCAATACTTCATACTTTATCTGCCAAGACATCAGTCCTAAAGCACAGAGAACACAGAAGAAGGCAGCAGTCTTTAGTTTTATTTTATTTTTATTTTAGCCTTCGCTGCTTTGTGCTCTAAAAGTTAGATTTTATTAGAGTTATTTAAATAAATTACAGAATGTGTTGAATAACGTCTTCTCCTGAAAATATTTCTGTGAACTGAGCTGTCAGGTAAAAACAGTTAGATTTTAAATGGCTTTTAAAAACTGACTTTGACATTGCTCTTTATAGGCTTTTATAAACTAAACTAAACTGAATGAGATACAAATTAATTTAAAAAAAAACTTTTTTTGAGTGTTTTCTTTTTTCTATAAAAATGATTAAAAATACATTTGTGTACATAGTTTCTAATGCTTTATTATGTTTTAATATGGTGATACGTTTTTTTTTAGTTTTTGGCTGTACATCTGTAATACATATAGGTATATACATATAGGGGAGTGGTGGCGCAGAGGTTAGAGAGGTGGGCTTGTGATCCAAAGATCGCCGGTTCACGCCCCGGCCCCGACAACATCAAAATTGTGGGTGGGGTAGGTGAAACACCCACACTTGCCCCCACCCTCATTCGCCCCACTCTGGGCCCATGAGCAAGGCCCTTAACCCCACCATGTGCTCCCTAAAAAACAGGTCTCTCTTGAAAATGAGTTCTCGTGGCTCAATGAGACTAACCTGGATAAATAAAGGCTAAATGAAGAAAAAAAAAATTTCAACCATGTCGATTTATTAAATAGGGATAAATAATCCCAAGTGTCCTTGAACTGGAGGTTTCTGCAACATGACAGGGATTATACATGTTTACATTTTCAGGGCCCAGACTGCACTCTTGTCACGAGGCCAGACATTTTTTTAGCAGCCTCCTTGTCTGCACCTGTATTGTTATTTCACACCAGCCGCCTCTATCAGGGAAATTGAAAAGAGGAACTGAATAAGTTGGCCCGTGTCCATATGCCCATCAGGGAAATTACTTTTTCCTGCCACCTGCCAGTGTTCTTTACATCAGGTATAAAGCAAGTCATCTATGATATATTTTTCTTAGTAAAGTCAAATAACTCAAGGTTAACAATAAACCACAGTAAGAAACAAAAAAACTCATTTATTTGAACAAATTAATGAACTTAACAAGTCTTTATTCCACCACCTGGTCACCAAAAGTACATTTAAACTGTAATAAACGGAAAAGTTGCAAATATCTCAACAGTTGTCCCAACAAATGTTTCAACTCAACAATTGATCAACTCACTGCTGCCGCCTTGAAAAATAAAACACACTTTGATGCTTACTTTTTGAGTGGGAATGATTAAATTAAAAAAAAAAAAATCTGAACATCAGAAAAACAAACTTTTCTGCCTTCTTTCAAAAGCTGCACAGTTCACAACTAATGTTGAACTGAAACGTTCATTTCTGTCATGCTGGCTTCACTTAATGAGGAAACTCAATTTAAATCTCACCAAAGCATCTCAAATGTTTCAAATGTCAACATAAAGCAAGGGTTCAGCTGTTTTTCTCTTTTTAGCAGGTGCTTTGCTTTCACTTAAAAGCCTGAAAGAAGTCCAGCAACTAAGTCTAAGATAACCTAGTTTCATTATAGCTCAGGCATCAAAGTGAAATAAAACAAAACCATAAATACATTAGGAAAAATAAAACTTTATGAGGCTTGTATGGAGTTTCAGCTCCTCTATCATTTACTTTTAGGCTCAGAGAACCCCTACAGTTTTCACGCACAATGAGGCTGGTGTTAAACTAAACGAGTCGGTGATGTCAGCTGTCCTTACCGTACAAAGTATTCCTGGTGACCTGGCCCCCCATGTCTGGATGCAAGGTGCCTCCTTCACCTCCTCTGGAACTGCGCGCTCTGTCCACGCGTTCAGCTGCGCGCCCTCCTCCGCGTCATAACACGGATCAGACCGCGTCCTCTGATAATATTAGCACTTACTACATGCATGTATGTAAAAAAAAAAAAAACAGTCCCCAGAAATAAATTCAGCGTCAGGATCTCTGTCCAAAACCTCATGGATATCAGATGAAGGCAGCAGCCGTCAGATCCACAGCGCTGCGTGTCACTCTGTGGGAGCAGATCAGGCTGAAATTAACAGAGAAGGTGGTGGAGGAGGTGGAGCTTCTGGGGGATTATTGACGCTGAGGACACTAAAGACAGGACTGAGGCAGAGTTGTTATTGTTGGAGCATTAAACGCCTCCATGGAGAGCCCTGCTTCTGCACAATGCCTGCGAGTTTTACGCGCATGCAGTAGATTTCCATCGCGCGTCGTGTTCCACCTGTTGAGTCACGTGAACACAACCCTGTCACACGAAGCTCACGCTTAAATAGAACGAGCTCTTTATTCACTATATAGAAATTAAAGTATAGCATTGCTTGAAGGAATGCATGTCGCCTTCAGCCTTTCATGACAGACTTTTAAATTCAGCTCATTTTGCTCAAACCTCGAACATAACTGAGATGTCAAGCTTGAAGTATGTGTTGTGGATGACTATCTGCTACCACCACAAATTCAAGCTCAATATTTGTAAAACAAACAACAACAAAAAATGAGTTATAGCCCTTTTTGTGTTGGCAAATTTTGATTAGCTAGTTTGATTGTGTCCAAAAGGTAATCAGTTGTACTGTAGATGTCCATTCAGTGGGAACTTTCTGAAAGTTTCATCCGAACCATTTCAGCGTTTCGTGACATATTTTGCTAACAGACAAACAGAGTCCAATCCAGCTATTGATGCCAAAGTTTAAGGCAAAATGTAGTGCAATGAGTAGCTTATA